TCCACCTAAAAAAAATAAAATAAAAGTCAGCAGCTACAAAAACTGTAGCTGCTGACTTTTGAAATACAGACTCTTACCTGTCCCTCGGTCCAGCGGTGTCTTCCCCACCACTGGTTTACCGACCATCTTCTCTCCCTGGGTCTGGCATCTTCAGTGTGGGCACCCGGCTGTGACAACTTGCGGCTTCACAGCCGGGTGCCCACTGCGCATGCCTGAGAAGCGCTGCGCTTTTTGAATAGCCCTGTAGTTTTCTGGGACCTGTTACGTGTCCCAGAAGACTACGGGGAGGATAACTTCCACTTCTGATTGCTTAGGCGATCGCAGCAAAAGTGGGAACGGGTATCTGTCAAATTCGGGTACCCACCCCCCCCCCCCCCCCACGCTCCCGAAAGGAAATGGGGAGTGAGGGACAAAAACTTAAAGCGGAACTTCGGATGGAGCTCCACTTTAAATGGATTGTACTGCATTTCTGCAAAACGCTGCAGAAAACGCTTAGGTGTGAACCTAGGGTAAATGTTGGAGCTTCATGAACCAGGGCTAAATGCCAGCATGCATGGGGCCATAGTTATACAGACCACAGTAACAGGAAAATAATGATAAATGGGCTTTAAGAATAAAATTGCATTTTGAGCTAAATCTACATCAGGAACACATCTGCACACTTGGCTCAGTTGCCACTGTAAGTACTATACCTACTGAATTAAACATTTGTGAAAATAGCAAACTTCAGCTAAAAATTAAAAAAATTTCCCATCGATTGTGTCCTAGGTTTGCATGCCATCTGTGTTACTATTGTTAGATTGTATATGGTGCAACTCATCCAATTAAAACAATATCTTGCTTTCAACTAGATGTGAAGACTTGCTCTGAATACAACTCCAGTCTCTAGATCAGGGATCAGGTGGGGATAATGAAGTGATTTGCATTCATCTATGTTTCCAGTCTAGAGCTCTACAGCTACCAGGTGTTGTTTCTGTGTGTCCTTTGCTTATTGTTGATAAGCCCCCAACCAGATAGCTATAGGGTTACCCACCAAAACTGGTCCTGTCTAAAGCACAGTGCATTAGGGCTGACCGATGTAGGATGCAGATCTCTAGACTGGAAGCATGCATATAACTGTAATTAACTTCATAACATCTATGCTTCCTGGACTTGTCCTGTAGGCCAGGTTCACCAAGGCACTTGAAGCAAAAGAGCAGCCAACACCTGTAGTATTCTTCCAGTAGTCAATCATTCTCCTATTGAGATAGGACTGAGTTGGGAGAAGAAACAGAAGTGAATGGCCAGCTGTGACCTTAACACTGCACAGAATGTTCATTTGACTGGATCACAACGCCAAAACTGCCGGCAATCTATATGTGTATTAAACTGTTCAGTTTAGTAATGCTATCTGAGCCATCATTTAGGGCAGGGGTCTCCAAACTGTGGCCCTTTGCTTGCCTTTTCCAGGCCCTGGGCCACTATTCCTCCTATTGATATGAAGCACTATTCCTCCCACTGACACCAGCAAGGAGGCACCATTCCTTCCACTGACAGTAACAGTGGGGAACCATTTCTTTCACTGACACCAACGATGGGAAATTTTTCCTTCCACTGACAACAATGATGGGGCACTATTCCTCTCTTTGACACCAACAAGGGGGCATAATTTTTCTCACTGATATAAACAATTAGACACTATTACCCAATACCAATGATGAGGCACTATTGCCCCATCTGACACAAATGATGGGGCACTGTTCCTCTCACTGATACCTATGATCATTAGTAATAATACCTGATACCAATGACAGGGCTGATACCAATGATGGGGCACTATTCCTCCCACTGATACCAATGATGGGGCACTATTCCTCCCACTTATACTAATGGTGGGGCACCATTCCTCCCACTGACACCAATGATGGGGCACTATTCCTCTCACTAACACCAATGATAGGGCACTATTCCTTCCACTGATACAAATGATGGGGCACTATTCCTCTTACTAACACCAATGATGGGGCACTATTCCTCTTACTAACACCAATGATGGGGCACTATTCCTTCCACTAATATCAATGATTGAGTACTATTCCACCTACTAATACCATTGATGGGCACTATTCCTCCCATTACTACCAATGATGGGGCACTATTCTTCCCATTACTACCATTGATGGGGCACTATTTCTTCCAATAATATCAATGATTGAGTACTATTCCACCCACTAATACCAATGATGGGCACTATTCTTCCCATTACTACCAATGATGGGGCACTATTCCTTCCAATAATATCAATGATTGAGTACTATTCCACCCACTAATACCAATGATGGGCACTATTCTTCCCATTACTACCAATGATGGGGACTATTCCTCCCACTAATACCAATGATGGGGCACTATTCCTCCCATTAATACCAATGATGGGGCACTATTCCATCCACTAATACCAATGATGATGGGGCACTATTCCTTCCATTAATACCAATGATCGCGCACTATTCTCCTCCCATTAATACCAATGATGGGGCACTATTCCTCCCATTAATACCAATGATCGCGCACTATTCCTCCCAATAATACCAATGATGGGGCACTATTCCTCCCATTAATACTAATGATCGGGCACTATTCCTCCAACTAACACCAATGATTGGGCACTATTCCTCCATCTATTGACTACAACAGAGGTAGGCAACCTCAGCATGCCATCTTTGGTAAAGCTACAAATACCATCAGGCCTGAGTCTCTGGAAGTCATTCCCAAGTCTTGCAATGCCTCATATGACCTTTAATTCCACAACAGCTGAACTGCTGAGGTTGCCCACACCAGGACTAAAAGCTGTATGTAATTTTTTTTTGACTGACCACCAAGCCTGAGCCATTATATTTTTTAATCCCATTGGCCACTCCATTATGTAGCAGTTCATGTGAGAGAAGGTATGCATTAATGTATTATTTAGAGTCCATTATCTTATTCCTGAGTAACATTCATGCTTACTTGATACCTTAGCACAGTAGTCCTAATGGGCTGGTACCTTGAAAGGTATCAGCCTATTAAGACTAATAAAAGTGATCAGTTGGCATGTAAACCTTTACTCCAGTTTGTATCCCGTCCATATACTTAAACCTCAGATGTCTTGATGAGTAATAATAATGATAACATTGATCACGTAAACATGGAAATATTTAACTAACAGGACAATTAGACTTTGATACATCTCATTGACACTGATAGCAGAATGTACTCTTTACTGATAAGCATCCAGGACATGCGAGCACACATGTCTTAAATAGATAATCTGAATGTAATGTGCAACTCCCAGCCACAGAATGAAGACTGGTCTATGGCTGATGCTCCTAACAGCAAAATAGAACTCATCCATTAAAACTGCAGCAAAAAGTGGAGCTTCTGTTTGTAATAACCAATCAGATTACAGACATACTATAGACTTATTCGCTGAGCTAGCACATCATGATAATTATTCTTATTGTCAAAATGTGTCAATAATTTTCAAATGAGTCCAGAAAATTTTGAAAATAACAGTCACATGACTATACAAATAGAAGGGTTGATTTACTAAAACTGGAGGGTACAAAATCTGGTGCCGCTCTACATTGAAACCAATCAGCTTTCAGGTTTTATTGTCAAAGCTTAAAGTGATAATAAAGGTAGAATTAAAAAACAAAAATGGTTTTGCACAGGGTAGCCCCGATCCTCCTCTTCTTAGGTCCCCCGCTGGAGTTCCTGCCTCCCATAGCAACCATCGTGCTTGCTCACTCCTGAGCCCCGCTCTGTGTGCCTATGAGACACACAGAACGGGGCTCAGCCCCACACCCTGCTCTCTCCTCACTGGCTGATTGACAGCAGCGGGAGCCAATGGCTTGGAGTGTAACTTTGCAACCCAGTGTGCAAAGTCAGCATGATTTGATGTTTGGATAAATTAACTCCCATGTGCATATGTGGGAGTTATGCCATACCTACCATTTAAGGCGTTCAGCATGGAAAAACATGTCAGCTTCCTTGGCATGGTGGTGGAGACCCACTGCCTTAAGCCGGCTATAGGCAGTTCAAATTCTGCTGAACCAGCTGAGATTCAAACCATGTATGGGCAGGCTGAATGTACCCAAGTTGAATGGTCAACTTGGGTACAACCAGCCTTCTGGATTTTACATGCAATTATTGAATCACTGTCTTCTCCCAGCGCAATGGGTGCAGGATTCCCCTGTCAACACTGACTGTGGTTGCCGGAAAGAAATTTGCACTGTCTATGGCCTGCCTTAGACAATACGAAGCAAGAAGAGTACAAAGGGGAATTTGAAGATACTGTGCAACATATTTTAAATCCTGGCTTGTAAAAGGATACAACATAAATCAAAGTGTCCAATTTTATGTATGTAGCTCTACACCCGTAGGAGTCGCTTAGTTTTAGGTCCCCCTATAGCTCTGCACAGCCAGGAAACATGCATTTCCTTCATTCAGACTTGCATCAGGAGACAGTAATCAGTCCTTGAGCTTTGTTTTGAAGTTTTATTAGGGTATTGAACTTGGATGGGGTAAGGGGTTTGTGTGGGATGCTCAAGGGTAATGGCAACAGAGGACAAACTTGCTGAACTATGTACGTCTCTTAAACAGCAAAAACTTGGCACCATCCGCAGGCAGCTTAACTCTGTAATAAGACAAAAAAAAGTAATCGAATGCAATTTTAATTCAGATAATTGCAGTACAAAGGATGTTTTTTAAGTTTTTTTTTTTAAGTGTAAGAAGACAATAAGTTTCCTAAACTATCTCTAAAAGGAAATAACACTGACTGAGGGAACATGGAAGAAACTGGGAGGGTCTAACTAACACTAAACAAGATGGGAGGACAGAAGGAAATACCAAATCACATCAGTAAAGAAGTTGTAGTGGCTTAAAATCATCACTAGATGTCAGCATACATCAAACAATAGTAACCTGATATACTGTAGTTCCATACAACAACAGAAAAAATACGTATAGGTGTGACAGAACAGAATGCATTTATTAATATAATTCTGCAAGTCCAGTTTACATAAAAGGGCACACATGAGCAGATCCACTGACAATAAAGCCTCATGCACACAGGACTTTTTTTTCCCTCCCATTTATGCCTTTTCTCCAGGGGAGGAAAAAGCATCTTAAAGTGTTACTAAACCCAGGACCCTGCATTCACTATATCTGGTCTCCCCGAACCCTGCATTCACTATATCTGGTCTCCCAGGACCCCGCATTCACTATATCTGGTCTCCTCGGACCCTGCATTCGCTATATTCAGTCTCCCCGGACCCTGCATTCACTATATCTGGTCTCCCGGGACCCTGCATTCACTATATCTGGTCTCCTCGGACCCTGCATTCGCTATATTCGGTCTCCCTGGACCCTGCATTCACTATGTCTGGTCTCCCAGGACCCTGCATTCACTATATCTGGTCTCCTCGGACTCTGCATTCGCTATATTCGGTCTCCCCGGACCCTGCATTCACTATGTCTGGTCTCCCAGGACCCTGCATTCACTATATCTGGTCTCCCCGAACCCTGCATTCACTATATCTGGTCTCCCCGGACCCTGCATTCACTATATCTGGTCTCCCAGGACCCTGCATTCACTATATCTGGTCTCCCCGGACCCTGCATTCACTATATCTGGTCTCCCCGGAGCCTGCATTCACTATATCTGGTCTCCCCGGACCCTGCATTCACTATATCTGGTCTCCCAGGACCCCGCATTCACTATATCTGGTCTCCCCGGACCCTGCATTCACTATATCTGGTCTCCCACAGTGCACACAACATGGAAATGCAATTATTTTAGTAAATATAAACTGCTAAATACCTTTTCTCATCAGCAGTATATAGCAGCTTTGTAACTTCTATCAGTGTCTGGCTGAGCACTGGTTAATTTGTAGGAGGAGTTTTCATTCTCCCCTGATTGTCCTATGAGGCTGCATAACCCCTGACCCTCTGTCTGCACAGTGCTGATTGACCACATGCACGCTCCCAAAGAAAAAAAATCTCTCTAAGAATACACCCCATACTGAGCATGTGCAGAGTGTCTCCTAGAGCTCCGTACTATCAGCAGATGGATTGGCAATAGTAGAAAAAGGGGAGGATCAGAGGAGACAGGATCAAACAGCCTTTTTTACACATTGTGGAGGATTAACCCCTTAGGTTCCACAGTGAGCATAACAAGAATGATTTACTGCATATACAGACTGATTTTACTGTTGTGGCCTTAGTAACACTTTAACATAGAGGTGCATTTAGAGGCTAGAAAAAAAAACAAACCTTCAGATGCCTGTAAATTCAGCTTTTTTACACCCAGTGTGCATGAGGCCTAGTAAGTATTTCAGCTATAGCATTTATACTTTACAAAATACATAGAAATTGCAAAGTACACCAGAGAGAAAGAGGCTTGAAAGGAAAGTCGGTTTGGCGTGAAATCAAATCTCATTCTACAGGGAAAATCTTCAATCTATGAACATATTGTACAAATCCCCTTATATCCTAAATCCGGGGAGCTCTTGGCATTCACACAGCTATTCTGGTTTAATGAAAGACTTCTAGGCAGAAACACAAATACCCCGCTTGTGCGGATGAAGTAAGCGGCTTAATGATTTTGTTTCCAGGACAGATCATTTACCAGATCTTAATCTAGAAAGATAGATCTGAAAACTAGAAATTCTATTTACAGTAGTAATGTAATGTGACCTAATTTGGCTGAGCAACACTTGGCTTTTCTCTGCACTAATTTCAATTAAGTGCTGCACCAAAATGAAAATTCTTGAACCGAAACCGAAAATTCAGGATGCATTTGGCCAAAAACCAAAATGGATGGTTTTATTAACCACTTCCAGTCTGGACACTTTCACCCCCTTCCTATCCAGGCCAATTTTCAACTTTCAGTGCTATCACACTTTGAATGACAATTGCACGGTCATGCATCACTGTACCCATATGAATGTTTTAGCATTTTTTTGAGACAGATAAAATTTTTTATTTTGGTGGTATTTATTCACCACTGGGATTTTTATTTTTTTTGATATATAGATGAAAAAGTTCAAACATTTTGAAAAAAAAGTGTTTTTCTTTCTTCATAAATATTGGCCAAAATGTATTCATCTATATTTTTTGGTAAGAACAAAATAACCCAATTTAGTCTACAACTAAAAATTATAATTTTTATAATTTTTTTTATATTTTTATTTATTTTTTTATATTATTTATGTTTTTTTTTTTTACATACTGTCACCCTAGCAGTACAGCGTCACCATACTGACACTGTACTACTTGTGGGGGGTGATGAAGATTTTTTTTTTAACACTGATTGCATTTACATCCATAATGGCTGTAAAAGCAGTAATTTCTCCTTCTCTCTGGCTGCATTCCTGAAGCCATTGAGAAATACTGTGCGAGCTGTGATTGGTCACAGCTTGTCACATGGTACAAGGCTGTCGTGACTAGCCTTGTACCATGTGACCTCTGTGATCATTCACAGATTTCACATGTAGTAAGCAATGATGTCAGGAACAGGAGCGGACTGACCATTTGGAAACTCGGGCACTGCCCGAGGGCCCAGGGTCAGTAGGGGGCCTCATGAGATGCCCCTGGTACCTTTTTTCATAGGCTTTTTTGAGTTTGTGCAAGGACACAGGGGCCCCATGATCCCCTATTGCCCGGGGGCCCCATGAGTTGTCAGTCCACTCCTGGTCAGGAAGTGACATCTTGTTTACTACTATTCATGTGATCACTGATTGTCCAATCAGTGATTACATGAATCGGGACTTCATACAGAGGCACTCCCGTCCGGCCATTTATCAGACGGGAAGAGGTTAAAAAAATATATTATTATATATATAATTGTATTGTATTCGACTTTAAAATTAATATCGTGAATTTAAATGAATATGAATTTATTTTCAGCACCTTTCAGCCAACAGGCTGCTTTCACACTGTGCAGTTTTTGCAGCACTTTTGCATTACAAAAAAAGGCACAAGAAAAATGCATCCCTTTAAATTTAATGTATGTCTTCACATGGGTCCATTGCACTTACCTTGCGGTGTTAAAAATCCTGCTTGCCGCATTTTAAGTGCATATTTGGCGAGTTAAAAAAAATGCACCTCCCCATTGAGGCCTGGTTCACACCAATGTGTTTTTTAGGGCTTTTTGCAGAAACGCACTACAGTCCATTTAACATGGTTTCCTATGGGACACGTTCACATCTCTGCTTTTTTTGAGCTGCTGCGTTTTTGGAAAGGGTCAGGGAGTTTCTTTAATGCAAAATGTTGCTTGTCTGGTTCAATAGACTTCAATGCAGAAAGTGCATTGTAGTGCGTTTTTGACACATTTTCTTGCATTTGCTGCATTTTTTATGCGTTTTGCATTTTTAATCTGCCCAGCAACCAGCTGGTAAAAACAGCCATGACCTGTCATCACTTTTGGTTTACCTGGATGTCAGCGGTGCCATTTTTAAAAACTCAAAAGTATTCGAAAACACTGATCTTGGTGTTTTGAATGCTTATAAGTGCAGAGGAGGGATCTAGGGTATTATAGACCCCAGATCCCTCCATAGAGAATACTTGCCACGTGCCTAATACTGTCACAAAAATGTTTACATTCCTTTTGACAGCAATAAAAGTGATAAAAAAAATAAGGCAATGGTGTAAAAATAAAAAAAAATAAATAACTAAAAAAAAAAATCCTCCATGCCCGAAAAACAGTGTAAAAATAAAAAAAAAATAACTTTAATAATTAAAAAAAAAATTTAAGTGCCCCCATCCTCCATGCCCGAGTGCAAAGGCAAACGCATGCACACACGTGCAAACAGTGATCGTCCCACACATGTGAGGTATCACAACGAACATCTGATCATGGGCAGTTACTCTAGCACCAGACATCCTCTATAAATCTAAAGTGGTAACCTGTAAAGGCTTTTAAAGCGTCGCCTATGGATAGTAACATTTACATCGTTTGTCGCTGTTGCACGGGTGTGCACAGTTTTAAAGTGTGACATGTTGGGTATCAATTTACTCAGCGTAACATCATTGTATATATTTTACAAAAAACGGGATTATATATTGTGTTTTTTTTGCATTAAAATTAAAAAAAAGTGTATTTTTTCCCACAAAATTACATTTGAAAAACGGCTGTGCAAGTACCCTGTGACATAAAAAATTGCAATTTATTCTCTAGCTCCTCTGCTTTAAAAAATATATAATGTTTTCTAGCAAAAAATACTGATTGTTACATATAAACAAAAAGTGCCAGAAATGGCTGGGACACCCTACTCCCCCTTTGCCTACAGTACCCACATACAATACACTCACCCAAGCTTTCATTAACCTGATGCCAGTCACCGCTAGTTAAAAGAAGACCCTCGTTCTGGCCTCCAGTGTTTCTTTTGATCCTCTATGGCACGCCCACCTACAGTAGCAGCTTCTACAGAACACACAGGGGTAGATTTACTAAAACTGGTGCACTCAGAATTCTGGTGCAGCTGTGCATGGTAGCCAATCAGCTTCTAACATCAGTTTGTTTTGTAAAGCTTTGGCAATAAAACCTGGAAGCTGATTGGTTTCTATGCAGAGTTGCACCAGATTTTGCACAATTCGGTTTTAGTAAATAACCCCCCATGATGTTGCGCAGCAGATAAAGAAAAGAATTGAACAGGACAGTCCCAGCTTATCTCAACTACTCCATGCTTCCTAAAATATAACCAATGACTCAATTAAAGCAGTACTCAACAACTGTCCCCCATCCCATCCCTATGTTTTTTCCCCACTTCCCTGTATTCCTAGGCTCTTTTCACAATTTATTATTACCCTCACAGCAAATATAACGTTGCCTTTCGATCCATTGTTCAGGTGCGATACAGTGGGTCCAGCACTGCTATCTCAGTCCGACAGCCTCTTGCAGGTGCAGGAAGAGAGTTCTGATGACGCACTAGGCCCACCCTCTGGCTTTTTCCCCCCTTACAGCTCTGTTGTAACTATCCCACAAGGTTGCAAGACCAGTGGCACATCATTCTGGCCTTGGCTAGTATGGCAGCGGGAACAAAAATAAAAAAAAAAAAAGTTAAGAGAAAAAAATATAAAACATTTTGCTGGAGGTGGGGTGGGGGTGTTAAAATGGGGAGTTAGGTTTTGATTTGATGGGATTGTAGGTGGATGATGGACCTTGCCTCTATGCTTCCCATTAACGCATTGGGCACCAAGCCTGAGTCACCTAAGAGGACTGCCTCCAGGGAGGGTTCTTCTGGGCTTTGCTAGGCACTTGTAACAGGGTCACTCTCTCTTACACATGGGGTACCTTTCCTCTGTGCTGTTTCCATCAATGCCCTGGGATTATGGGGGGGACTACTCAACTTTAAAGTGGGTCTCTAATCTCAGGAGAGGAATGTGCACTTGCTTCATAACTGTCCTCCAGTTAACTCTCAGGTCCTTGTGTCAATGTACACCTTCACTTTGCTGTCTAGCATTCTACACTACCTCTCTCTCAGTAGCAGAATGGAATTCAGCCTTGCACCCAGCATGGGCTCCATATGTACTCTTGACTTAACTCTTGACCTCCCGTACCTCTGCAAAGGATAGGGACCTCTGCTGTGCGAGTCTGCTCCTATTGCTATGGGCGAGGGACTATTGGCAGAAGGAGTTC